CCGGTGTTAAACTGCCAATAAACACTCGTTAGGGACTACTTGTATATGCGGCTGTTATGTTTTCACCCACGATGATATAGTTTACAAAGCCTTTTAAAGCAACAATAAAAAACATTTTTATTTATATTTTCAGTTCTTATTATGTTTTCGTTTCATACAATACCAAAATAATATTTCACATACACTAACGCCACATATTTGATTTATATCAGTTCATAAATATTTTAACAAAACGGCCCCAATCCGTAAGCAGCGTAATGACGTCATCCTAAGTAAACAACTCATTCATAAACAAGCTGACGTTAATTCATACATACAGAATGATAAATGGGACACTGGTGTGACACAATACGACGTAAGTTTTAATTGTTGAAAACTTGATAAAATAACGTTTTTTTTCTTATTATTTCTTTTCTTTAATAATTTCAATATCTTCGCAACAGTAGGGTGCGAAAATCGAACAGCGTTATACAAAAATCGGCACCGGAAGTTATTTCCGCTTGAAAAAATAACATTAGCGATCTTCCTTATTTTATCGTGTTAGAATCGAAATAACATCGGCCTGAGAGGTGTATATCGGCTATTTAACACCGGTTTTGTCGTTTTGATGCGTAAAAATTAACCACTCAGGCCTACGGCCTTCGTGGTCAATTCCTACGCATGAAAACTCCAAACCGGTGTTAAATAGCCGATATACACCTCTAAGGCCGATGTTATTTCTTAAATAAATATTTTGACAAAATGGCGCCAATCCTTAAGCAGCTTAATGACGTCATCCCAAGTATAAAACGCATCCATAAACGCTGACGAAATCTGCTCAAACGGTACCCTCTTTGCAAATGCACAGGTCATATTCTCTGCTAAAAACAAACCTGCGATGGGTAACAATCCAGTAAAATTTCAATGTAATTGAAAGGAAAGGAGGTATGACACGTAGAAAAGATGTATACCAAGGAACACTAGAATATTTTATTGATGTGCTGATTTGTCATGTGCCCGTTTTTCATGTACTGCAACTTCATAATAAGCTACAAAAAATCGACATGTCTTGCCTCGCCAATCACCTCGACATATTTCTCGGACTGATATGAACCTGTGGCTTGATTATATATGCATCATACTTATTTAATATGTTCATTTACATATCATCTTCGGACAAATAGCAGTATATTGTCAAAAATAAATGTAAAATTCATTAAAACACCCTACTTTCGGTTTTGCTGCGGCACGGGCTACCTCTCTTCATTTGAATTTTAATCACAGGTACCCTCTCATTTTTTAACATAGGTACCCTCAAGGCACGACATATGCTTTTATTTGCGTTAATCGTTAACTATGTAATATTTACATAAAAATAAGAAATATTACATACCTAACGATTATCGTCTGCTTTAATATACCTCACAGTGACTATAGTCTGTCCCTTCAAATTTGAATATTCCATTTTTTATTTGATATAATAGTAAAATCATTTAAATTAATGTCATGTTAACCCTGACGTCAATATTTCTAGGTATGTTTTTCATATTTCTCATCAAGTAAGTTATATGGTCAAAATGTTGAAATTATATTTTTTCCCGTTGACTTACGTTGTAACCTGACGTGACGTCCATTTTAAAATGGCGGCGCCCATACAGACGTCATTTAGGGTTCGTCTCACAATTAGCGTGAAATTTTCATCATTTATTATAAAAATTTGATTATTCTTATTTATTTATTGATCAATAGCTAAATGTTATCATTAAAAAGCAAAATGAGAACAAAGGTGGCGACAAAAAGGCAATTTTACTAGCAAACCATTATTTAAAATAATCAAAATCATTTGAAATGAAAATATCAGTAACCGCTTTATAAATTCTAACACATAAAGATGTATATAACTTACATGATAATTATACTGTCGTATTTTATATTCTTTTTAAGAGGAAAAGAGCAATGAAGTGATTTGATTAGATAGGTTTTCAATCAAGAGCGTATTTTGAATACCGCAAGGCGTCGTAGGGGAACGGGAACACTACCTGGAAGACTATAAAAATGGTTCTTCGCTAATAAATGTTTAATTTACATAATTCTGTTGTTGTCTCAATTCTGTCCATCACGTCTATTTAAAAATAATTAAATTGACCAGGTTCGATGGGATACAAAAATATGTTACCCTTCTTATTTCGGGTGCGATGTTCACGGGTTCGCTAAACTTTCCATAGGTTTCAACTTTCACAAGAAATCGCCAACAAATAGTATATTATCATGCCAATTCTGACAAGAAATGAACAGAAAGGAGAACTGATTCACTATACGTTCAGCATTGGTTTGCTTGTAACCACAGTGTCTACTTTAACTAACTCCCTCGCTAATGATAGAACACAGACTCGCGTTAATGCGAGGAAAATGTAAATTATAAGAATATAATATCATTCTTTCTAGTTTGAGCAATCAAACGTAGTCCTATATACTTTAAGCTCGTAAATACAGATTTAACTTTCCGTCTCTCAAGTCAACAAAATGTCCAGAAATACCGGCAGTGATTTGATATTATTAAGAATATACGTTCAATAGGCAACAATAAGTGTGAACTCAAAGTGTTACATATTATGTTAATATGAATGGGAGATCGAGTCAAGAGAAACACCGAGTGACGTCCTCAATAATTTAAGCCTTCCTAAAATTTGAAAATATTCAGTGAAAAAACAATAGCATTTTTTTCGCGGGAGAAAAAATACAGCGTATTGTATATTTTGTATCTAAAAGAGAAGGATTTACAGAAGTCTTGTATAACGAGATAATATATAGGGGAATCATTTCTGAAAAATATATAAAATAGTTTAAAAACATACAATCAAAACGAAGGTTATATGTAATTAATGGAAGAAGTATTGTACTGCCATATAGATTCATGTCATTAAGTGTGTTTAAAATTATTTTAATGTTTTCAAAAGTTTTATTATTAATATATGAATTGAAGGTGTAATTTTTAACAGTTAATTTGCAAAATATGGGTACATACAAAAAATATTTAAAATGCCATCAAGACAAATTTATCTCAACGCTTAAAATTATCTGTATGAGGTTACATATGCCTAACCGCCCTCTGTCAATGCCGCAACTGGAATCATCCATAAAAAGCGCAAGGCATTTTTGTTACCTCATATATTTCGTAAATTGTTGTTGACGTAATAAAGTTTTTTCGTCAGGAATTTCAAGAGTTAAAAACATTGTGATGTTGACAACTAAAATTTATGGGCCGAATTGTGGATTTGGAACATGCTAAATTATGATGTGTTTCATTTACATATTTCGTTAGCTAACCCAGATAACTCCACAAATTGTTCAACAATTTTTTAATAATGAGACGGATTAACAGTTTAAAATTTTGAATCATCATAAGTGTAGGAATTATGTCATTCAGGAGTTTTGAAGTAAAAGAATGGGATCTACGGAACTGGATAGAAACTGGCAATGAAGGAATCTTCAGAATGCAAATTTGTCGTGACGTTTATAAAGATCTATTTCGAAATGCATAGGGATTCTGTTCAGCTTAAAAATAAGTGCAAATTCTAGATCTACTCCATGTGACTCGATGTTCTATAAATCTTGTTGCTTATGTTTCAATTTAAAGTTTTCCATCATGCATTGCAACTAAACTGTTACATCTTGTAGATACAGCTTTGTAAAATAGTCAAGAAACGACCCCGAGAACCTCATGTATATTTTAGAACCATGACACGTGCTTTCTCCCGTTCATCTTCAAATGAAGAGTACTTCGGCAATGGCTACGGAAAATGAACAGCAGAGATTTACCATAGAGAAATCAAAATTTGATTTCACAAGAAGAGTTGACATTTTAGAGAAAAACTCTGAAAAATCTCGAGGGTGACTTTTACTAGTTTACAAAAATAGTTTAATTTTTATTCAACCTCGTTTTGTTTATTCATACCAGGCAAAAGTTAAACAATTTAGAAAATACATATGCGTCATTATATTTTTAATTACTCGAAGCGATGCGTTGATGACATCAAACTGTAGTATTTTATTTTTTTGTTAGGTTGTTCTGATTTATTATAACTTTTTGTCTTAGCAGATATCTGACTCAATCTTGCTTCGTTTGTTAGAAATATAGTTTAATATTGATATATCAAATTTTGAAATTTTCTGCCGATGGGCCAAAATCGACCCAAAATGTACCTAGCCCTTTAAATAATGAAAATATTTATGAAAATAAAAAAATAAATAATGAAAATAATTATTAAAAAACAACAACAACAACAACAACAACAACAACATAAAGGTAATCAATAAATTCAGGCCATCCATTTTTTAAAACTATACAAAATTTGGCAAAAGGCACCATAATGATTATGCTCAAAATGAAAAGACAAAAATCGTCCTCTGACAATGACTACACCATCTGAGCATTAAAAAAGAACAAAACATGGTACCCTTAGCAACAAGAGCTGTCACAGGAGACAGCGAAGCTCCACTAACAAAATACTGGACCCAGTAAGGAAGACAAAATTATAAAAGAAAACTCAATTATGTATGATTAAGTATCAAATTAGATCTATGGTAAAAACATAATATTTGTTAACATAAATTCAAAGTTCAAGGGAGTTAAATTTGAAAATAGTCTAAAGTTATGAACCTTGTCACATAAGTTGTGGTTGATAATAATGTACATACATTTGAAGTATGAAGTTGATCCCTTAAGAAATAAAGAAGTAACAGTAAAAAATAGTATTTTTTAAGGAAAATTCTAAGTTAAAGGGGTAATAAATCTGAAACTATTGTAGCTACAGTTATGAACCTTGTCACATAAGATTTGGTTGATGATAAGAAACATATATTTGAAGTTTGAAGTTGATACCTTAAGAAATGAAAATGAAAAAGTGAAAAATATTTTACTTCACCAAAACTGCGGCCGCGATTAGGACAGCTCTCCATATTCTTCGTATAGTCGAGCTAAAAATGCGTTATATATTGTGTAAATCATAGCAAAAACATACCTACATACGCCCTGTTATTTTTCTTTATAGCTTCACAAGTAGCACAGCAGTCTGCTCTGATTTGTTCACGGTAACAATTGTAAGTTGTTGCAGGAGATCCAAGAAGATCGGAACAACCAGATTTTTCTTTCGGAACAATGTAAGGGGTATCTCCATATGGACACGCTTCTGCTCAACAAATATTTTAACTTAATAGTTTGAGATATACATGTACGTTTGTCAACAATATGGTACCTACTTTACTGTAAAGGACATTGTATAAATATAAGAACAAAAATTAACAAGGTAAAGCGACGTTTACAAAAAGCAGCCGTTGACACAAAACAGCCACTACGGCTGGTTACAGTGAGCACCGGAACAATGCGAAGAAAATAGTTCCCTTATAAAACTCTCATTGCCATCTCATTTTCAGGAAGCTTTTGGCGGAAATTTAGGATTCTTATTTATATATTATTATCTTGGGATGTAGGTTTCATTACACTATGCAAAAAAAAAACCAACTGGATTATCTAATTTCTATTTGTAGTGGCAGAATGTATTCGCGACTAAGTTACAAGCTTAAATTACTTACTTTATTGGTAATAACGCACAGTGCGATATCTCAGATTTATAGCATAAAATCGTTTATTTTTCCCTCTTTTGCCCATGTAATAACGGGACAAAAACCATGTGTTAACATAGTCACGCGCTCTTCTTATAGCCCGGTTTTACGTATGCGCAATACTAACAGGGCACAGTAAACAAACAAAAACTTGACGATCTGGTCTGTTATTGATTCGAGAGTCTCAATCACAACACGGCGAGCAGCACACAAGTAACTATGCCGGAAATACGGCATATAGACATCGCCGCTAATCTTGGTTGTCGCCCTTTCTAAGAAATGGACAGTTGTCAATGTAAATAAATATCTGTCATTCTAAATAACTCTCTGATTAACTAACAAAACAAGATAACATAAAATGAATATGAGAAAATGTTGTTTTATTAATGTTTATGTTGATAAAGTTTCTTTATATTTATTTGAGAT